TATTATTTTCTTTATATATATTGTAATTAAACATATTTACTAATCCCAAATAAAGCTTCCCGTTCCTGGTTTTAGCGCGACTACGTCGCGCAGCTACCTAATTAATTAACATAAAACAGACTACATATAAAATGATCGGCAAATTCTCGCGTACAGTACGTACGTACGTATGTACAGTTCTGTATGCGGCACATCACTAGGCATAATTAGCCAATAATAAATCGCAATTTTATGTATCGTGAAAATTTAAAACAAATATTCAGTTCGAAAAAAAAAATCGCTTATTTCTCGAAAACTCGCTTATTTTTGATGTTCTAACAAAAAAACATTCCTTGCTAAATTTTGCATATACATAACATCTTGCTAAAGCTCTAAGCCTTGCCATAAACTTAAAATAAACGAACTTAAAATTATATCATGTCTATGCCCTCTATTAGTGGTTGAAAATGTTTTCCGGAGTGATTACTTGAACTATCACATGACCATCCGGAGTACAGTTTGTACACATTTTCGGTATGCCAAAATTATCGTATGTGACGATTTGTTTATAATAACGCTTCTTCCAGACTAAAATTTAGGAATTCCAAAGCTAAACACTTAGTTGACAATTCGATGTCAAACACCAATTCGGATGGTTGATAATAATGATGCCTGACGAAACTCACGTGAATTGACGAAACCATATAGTTTCGTCATTTCGTCAATGACGAAACTTATGGTTTCGCCATTTCGTCAATGACGAAACTTATGGTTTCGCCATTTCGTCAATGACGAAACTTATGGTTTCGTCAATTTGTCAACAGCTAAAATAGTTTCGTCAGGCATCTATAGTTGATAAGATTGCCATAGCTGACGAATTGATGATAACACCATTTGTCAGATTGATGATAATGTCATTTGTCAGAAATTATATACACAGACATCAGCTAGGATGGTCGATAAGCTCGCCATCATATATTTAAGTAAACTGCGAGTGCCTCTCGAAGAATTATTAAGTATTTTAATATAAGTTAAATATATAAATTTATTTTATAAATTTCCTTTATACTGTAATAATCTTAATAAAATTTTGTTAATAAAACTCTCTTTTATAAAAACTTACGAAAATTTCTATAAAAATTTCTATAAAAACTTTTTAAATAAACTTTAACATTAAAATTGCCAACAAGACCAAATATTAGTGGAGGTTACTGTATGGCGGAATAAACGTAGCCACACACAAAACTCGAATTGGCCCTTCATAAAACATATCAAATTATTCTTATCGAACGTAAAACCTACACTTACCATTCAATTGGTGGCCTTGTGCGGCTGTTGAAGATGGATTCAAATATAAAATTATGATTCCTTATAATAATCTCTTTAAGCATGGAGAGAAGTTGTAAATACTACAGTTACTGCAATTCATGAAAAATAAGTTATTGTTAATACCAATACTGAATGAGGAACTCGCATACCATTTGAATACTTGGTAATTGCCACCGGCTCTAATTACTCTAAACCTGCAAAGGTGGTAGCAAATAATGAAGGCGTTACTGAAATAGTCGCACAAAGAAAAGCTGTAAAAAACGCGAACAAGATTTTGATTATCAGTGGTGATCCAGTAGATATTGGTACGTTTATAGCATACTGTTATTAATAAGTTCAAAACTGTCAAAATTTTCAGCATAATATATTAATATTATCGGTATTAATTTATCATTTATTATCTTCATTCATATCTTTAAATAGAACTTGCTGGAAAAATTGCATCAGTTTATAATGACAAAGAAGTTACACTTGTTCATTCGGAAGATCGTTTGCTTTCGGAACAATTTCCCAAAAAAACGATAGATCTTGCGAAACAATTGAGAGTATTAAATGCAATCCTTATTTTTGGTAAAAAAAGTTATTTTTCCTTCTTCTGGTATTGGAGACGGTTTGGTTTCATTAACACTAGAAACTAATAAGGTAAATATTTAACATATTTTTTCATTCTTTATATAATAAATCTAGGGATGTAAAAGTCCAGTTTTGCTCAGTTCCATATAGCGATGCTACCGAAACAATTTATAGCATCGCAAACTATGTGATGAATAATATCAATTTAGGTATATACTGCCTTATTGTTATTGACAAAACAATTTGACATTATTAATCATATAGTTTGGGATGTTCCAAATAATTTGGGTGATATTGCTAAGTTCTATAGAAGTTCAATTTGAATATTATGTAAAAGTAAGTTCCGAACCTATTGTTATTTTTCATTGGTTCTGCATATATACACACATGCAGTACATACATGCATACTGGTGACTGGACTCGTATTGACTCGTGATTTTTGAATTAAATTTCAAAGTGTTCAAATCATTCGATTAAATTATTTATTCGAGTTTCATTCGATTAATTTGAATCACAACAATTAGTTTAAAATATGCTTCAAATAACGTGTTATATAAGGCAGATATAATTCAAAGCAATTATCACAGATTATAAGTTATGAAAGCAAGTAGTATACTGTATTAATTATTTGTCAATTGGAATTAATGTATCTAGCAAATCCATATTTCTTTTCAAATATAATATTATTCGGATAATGAGTTGAGTTTATTCACTAATATATACAATAACGATAGCACTATTAAAGAAAAAACCTGAAGTTCCCCGTTGACAATAAATTAAAAACCGAAAAAGCTACTAAAGTAAGCAAAAATAGTAAAAAGATTAATAAATTTGACTGTATATACATTATAAGAATAATAAGGCTGCGAAAAAGGTTAAGCTGGTAGTGTGGTAGTGTGAGATCAAAGTTATAAACGCATATTTTAAAAGTAATTGTGAATAGATCTTTAATATTTGGCCAATAGGATTTTTTAAATTGACGGCAATAATCAATTCGGATAATTTACTGGAACTTGCTATTGTATCATGTGATTATTTCTTAATCATAACACCTATAATTTATAACATTCGATGTGAAAATTTGTTTAACCTGCACCCTGGTGCAATATTTTTTAAGCTAGTGTAGCAAATATCTGTAAATAAAAATGAATTAAGAATTTTGTAAGAATAATTATTAAGAAATCTGAATACTTTACTACACCTTATAAATATTAAATAATGATTTTTATATGCTAAGGATTCAAGATGTAAATTAGTGTGTAACTATAATAAATATCATTAAAATCATAACTCTCACTAATTATTAAATCGTTAACCTACTCGTTGTTAAAATCATAACCCACTCACTATGTAACCATGAATACACCCAAAATTACGAACCTGGCAATTGTTAAAATTACGAATTGAAATTATGAATTTAACCATTGTTGAAGTCACGAACCTAATCGCTATGGAAGTCACAAATCTAATCACTGCTGAAACAACAAATCTAACCACCGTTGAAATCACGAACCTAACCACTGCTGAAAATGTGAGCCTAACATTTTTTAGAAATTATGGTTCTGTACCTGGAAATAGTTACTCAGGAGAAGGAAGTATGTTTTTAATTGACCCAGAGGTATTTAAGAGTTTTTGATTACGTAAGAGAAGGTTACCTTCTTTTCGGTATTGATTGCCTCATAGTGAAGGTCGGCTCCTTCGTTAAACAGCACAGCATCAAGCAATACATTGGACACTTTAATAATGTGTTAGCGTGTTAAGTAGTTAGTGGTATGCTTCGCAGCTGTATTGGCAATGCAAGGACCTTATTTTTGCTTGTTGCGACGGCAGTGTAAGGACCTTGTTTTTCTGTTTTTGACTCTGTGTCTCTATGGCAGTACAATGGCCTTATAAGTTACCTAGCATTTATACCACCTTATGATAATTATATTACCAATTTTCTGTATTTATTATATAAGACCTTTCTTGGTTTTATATATTTTATTAGCATTGTATTAAAATGTTTGTAAAGGAGTTGCTATAGGTATAAAGACGGGACAAAAGCTGTAAATTAGTTTTATCGTGTTTTTATACCCATATTGAATCTTTTCCAAACATTTTTAATATAAAGTAATGAAAACTAAATGAAATCAAGCGAGCTTTTTTATAGGATTGTCATTTCCTTAAATACACGTCGCAGTAAGAAGAATCGACACTGTTTCATAAGTGTATAATGTCGTAGGTAATTGGATTTACTATATTGCTTTTTTAGAGCTCGTTGATACCATTTCTTTGGGTAACTATTTTTGAACCCAGACCAATTTTATATACATACGTATAACATTTTTTGGTCTGGATTCAAAAGAACCACCCATTTTATTAATAGTAGAGCCTACAAATAGCGAACAGAATTCTTATATAGGACGTAACTAGGTGATGTCATAAGTCTGCGCCTACGGTTTGCACAGCATGCACATGATCCGGTTTAACTAATCAAATCACGAATTAATAATCAATTGGCACAGAGATTTATGTTTAATGATTCAAATGATACATAACATAAGATTAATATAAGGTTAATATAAGGTTATTGCTACTGCATATACATAGATTATTAAGAGCTGGATAGGATTTTCTCAGCGGAATTTAGCTTAAAAAATTTTTTTGCATATGTAACAACGAAATACGACACAAAAGTAAATAAATGTAAAAAGAAAACGAATCAGAATTCAAATAAAAATAAAGAATAAAATAAAATAAAAAATGTAGGCCCACGATAGTTTACGAAAAAAATTTTGCGTAAGCAACAACGAAATACAGCATTCGGAATACTCGAAAATAAATAAATGTAAAAAAAAGAAACAAAATTCAAAAAAAATTTAGGCACACAGAAAATTTTTTTGTATAAGTAACAACAAAATGGCTCGAAAGTAAGTAAATATCAAAAAAAAAAAGTGTAGGTCCACGAGATTTCAACGAAAAAAATAAAAATGTTTGCATAAGTAATAGCGAAATACAGTATTCAGAACGCTCGGAAGTGAATGTAAAAAGAAAAGAAACAAATTCAAAAAAAATATAGGCCCACGATGGTGAACAAAAAAATAAAATAATAAAAGAAAATAAGGTAATGACAAATGAAATGAAAAAATCATAAAAATAATAAAATTATGCGTATAGTCTCCGGGCGGTCCAAAGATTATAATTAAACCAACGAAAAAATAATAAATTGCAATCAAAATTTCATGCACGTGAACTTGTATAATATACCATAATGCGTGTTTTTGGTATATCCATAAAAGTGACAGTACAGAATTTGCATTACGCAACAATATTGAGTGCATGAAATTCGATGAATTATGTAGGAAGAAAAAAAGCTATATATCAATTATTTTTATGATAATTACATATTTATGTATCTATTAAATAGGATGATAGTAGCCAGAGCGATTATATATAGCTACATTCAGCTTAATATTTTTAAATAGCTCAGAGAAGTCATTTGCAGAAATAACTGTTTTCTAAGCTATTTAATCTTAGTGCTTAAATAAAAACTATTTTTTTACATGATGCAATGTTTTTTTAGTGGTTTTAATTTTTTTGTTGTTTTTTTTTAACAATCTTAATAAAATTTCGTCAAAGCTTGGGCTTATTTATAACAATTTTACCTTGCAAAAGTATTATTCACCCATCCTAATGCAGACATTTGTGCAAATTATGGAGAAAATCATTATACAGAAAGGTTTTTACATAAAAAATCTCGAATTGACGATGAAACACTATAATTATCTTCATTCTCGGAAATCTACTATGAAAATAAAACTAGTCGAAAAATAAAACTAATATATGTAGTGATGACCTCCGAGTTTTTAATTAATAATAAAAAAATCAATAATGCGCCATTGATATTATTAATAGTTAACAACTTCGATCATTGTTAATAATACATTTGATTAAATAAACTACTAAAGGTTTTAATAAATTAATAGTTCAAAAATATAAGGAATTGTCTAGTATTTATTTGAGAAAATGTCACTAATTAGCTGCGCCTAGGCTTGGCTCAGCTAGGCTCATTCAAAGGCTGTGATAAGCCGGATCGAGATAACCAAATCGAATTTGCCATGCTATAAACACGAGGGAATGCAGTCAGATCGGTATAAATTCGAAAAAATTATTAAGTCGTTATTATCGATCAATCATTAATAATATTGGTTTGGAGCGAAGCGGAGAACTCTTTATTTGTAAACTTTGCTTTGCAGTCCATCTGCCCACGTGATTATGAACCAATCACATTATACCGGTCGATCAAAACATATTATTAATAACTCATGTGGTCTATCACTAAATATAGTTCATTTTGATTGAAAAAGATTATCGAATGATGTATCTTCGATCAAATTTGCGGATCGCTGCACACCTATCCCTTATGTAGACGCTATAACGATTTTTGGTCTATTTTTGTAAATTTTATTAAATAAAAACATACCACGTTCTAATTACTTATTTCATAAAATTTTTTTGTCAATACTCTAAAAATCAATTATTTAGTTTCAACCGTAATATCAAATTTTGATTCTAAAAAAGGAGCCATGTTCCCACGTGACTTTTTGTGTAAATCAACTAACCGGAATTGCAAATTTTGTTTACACGGATCAGCCCGAAGAAGTCAAAACGCAAAAAGACAAAGAATGGCAGTCTAAACCTGTCTTGGGGCGCTAATTAAAATTTTCAGGAAGGCAATACCTCTCTTCTCATATCAACACCAAACTAACCCTAATCTTAACATTAATTTTAAATAAACGATTAAAACTTCATAATCACGTGGGTATATGGCTTTAGCCATCCTCTAAAAAAGGAACAGATTTATATTGACCCTCTCTTATAATATAACATTTAAAAGTTGACCAAAATTCTTCACAATTAACTTTATATTATTGATTTTTAAAGCGATGCTAAATAGATAGGATAGTTCAAAATTATAGGCAAAATGGCCTATCGTGTAAATTTGTACCTTCTATTCAGGTTACAGAGTATTCCACACCGTAACTGCAAGTGTGCCATGTTACTTGGGTTTTTGCGTCACAACCAATTAGAAATTCTAGTTAATTTTTTTTCAAAATATTTTAACGTACAAATTTGTACGCTAAACCGGACGGTTTAAGGGATACAATCACCTGATTGTTGTCCGGTTGTGCGAGATATGACAAATTTTATTATTGCGGTATGCAAAATTATGTGAAATTTGAAGATCATAAAAAAAAGTTAAACACTAATTTCTGATTACTGATTTCCGATTTCTTCATTTTTTTTGACTTTTAGATTAGACAAAATTTGCGTATTATTTTGTAAAATTTTATTATTTTTTATAGAAATAAAAGTTGCATATTCATTATTTGTAATATATTTGCACAAATAGGAGTTGCACATTAAAATATCCAATCAAATTTTTAAAAATGATATATGCGCAAATTTTGTCTAGTTTAAAAGTCAAAAAAAATGGTGAAGAAATCGGAAATAAGTAATAGGAAATTAGCGATTACTTTATTTATTTTTTATTGATCTTCAAATTTCATATAATTTTGCAAACAACAATAAAATAATATATTTATATTGAATTTTTAGCCAAAAAAAACGCATTTTATAAACACGCAATGGACAACAATCAGGTGATTGTATGAGCGTGCAACGTCTACGATCGAAGAAGCATCATTTTCAAACATCGATAATTGGTTGTTTGATGTGCTTAATGTGTATTTGATATTGCCACATGCTGCGAGCAATCAGCAAGCACTGTCAATATTTCGGCTAGTTGTCAGATGATTATCGGCAGAATGCTGACAAAAACCAGTATACATTCAGCACAGTCGGCCGCTGATTAGTCTAATTTCAACTAGGGTGAACTGATGTGATTTATTCATTTTGAC